GTTTTGAGACGTCATTTGGCTCTGAAGCGAGCTAAAACTCTAAACACTATAAAAATGGCCTACTATTATCACAACATTTCACACTCGGAGGAGCACAAAGATGGCGGACGCCCATATTTGGATAGGTCGAAATAGGTCAGTGACGTCACGTGAAAGCCAAGAATAGAATTTTCTTGTAAAATTGAGATATCAACTGCTGAAGAATTTAGTCTATTTGATGCAGCTTGCTTTTCCTTTGGGTTTTTATTTTTGGATCCTTTAGGTCGACCTCGTTTTCTCGGTTCCACTTGCGTGATCGTTGACTTCTCATTGACAGGTTTTCTAGGTCTTCCTCGCTTACGCTCAGTTTGGCTGTCATTCGCAGAAATAAGGTCATCTTGGTTATTTATCATCTTTCCAACTTCTCCAAAATAAAGTATTACGGCTTGGATAGTTTAGTTTAGATTCATTATGTTTTAATTGAAGAAATATGGCTCCTTTGTAGGAGCTCCAACGGGACGTCCTTCCTGCACTGCCTCCAAACGATTATCCAATATTAAAATCTATTGTGTATTTTTCAGTGATAACGTGTTTATCTACGTGCCATAGGGAAACCCGTTTATTTCGCTAAATGGATCATAACAACATTCCATAAAAAAGTAGGAATTTGTTTGAATTTTTTTTGCCGAATGTAAAACGATGTAAGCCAAAATCGAAGTATACGTCATATACCCATATTAGGAAAGTCATGCATGTGATCCTGCAAATCGCGCAACTGTTCAAAAACAAACAGAAATCGATACAGAAATCATTTTAACTGAACAAATACAAACGAACCCAGAATTAAATACTTAGTGTGAGGAACTTGACGTTTCTGTATAAAATTGTGATGCACTTCGCTTTCCGACATTAAGTTTTTCACGTAGATATAACGTCAAGTTCAGCCAGAGGAGTTTCAAGGTGTGATTGAACTATGCATGTAGAAACGAACTTGACCAAATATCCTGAGGGAGTTTTTCTTTGGAAAAAAAAATCTATTTGCGAACCGGTTCCGTATCGTTACCGTTAGTTTGGAAGACATCGCATTCGCATTTTTGGCGAAACTCACCTGAACCAGATTTTTAAAAATACCAGAGCTAGCTGTCATTCACAATTCTTATTTTCAGTGGCGAATTCAATGCGATTTTTATATATTTACTACGTTAAAAAGCGGTATTTTTTGTGAATAACCATATATAATATTTGGGTAAACAGCGGTGTCCCCTGCTGTGGCTGAGATATCCCACTAAATTAACGCCTGCTGTAGTATATTTGAATCGGTTCCTGTATTGACCTACCATGTTAAAAATGAACTCGATTAAAAGCACCATTTCAAAACAGGTTTGTATTCTTTTATTGTCAAACTGATTATTTATTGAAATTTATTGAAAACAATCTTTTTCCATATATTATATTTTTTCTATTTGTATTTACATGTAAAGCTTTTTAAAGACAGATTATCAAAAGCATAAATATGAATTATAAGCATCGAATGAAGTTGTCAAAATGTGATGTAGATGAATTTCCAGAATTTCCGTTCATTGCGTTGTCTAAGCCAGTTAACCTATTTTTATAATCCTTTTCACTAAGAATCTTAAGTCGATTTTGGGTTCTAAAAATAGAAAAGTTTTTTTTCAAATCTCCTAGCTATAAACCCGCATAATCGTTTTGGCTGAAAGGTCTTGAATTTTTCATCATTTTCAATTCCGCAACAAACCACTTTTGGCGCCCAAATTTAGCACGTGCCTGCTGAGATTTTCGCGCCAAACGTTCTTGAAATCATTTATTTATACATCAAAATATATTCATATGTTTTTCTTGATTTTAATTCAATATATTTACAATATCCGCCTTTTCCCAGTTCATAAAGAATCGCCCGCAATTCTTTATTGGCTTTTTTACTATTTATATGGCAATTTCTTGCACAAAGATTGGAGAATCGCTTGGCTGTGTCACCAAACCGATTATGCATCTTATTTTTTGGTCGATTTACTTTAAAAATGTACTTAATTATTGACCTAAATCTAATTTTCTTTGCAAAAGTAGCAAAATTATTTCTTTGACTTGGTGTAAATTTCGAAAATATATCTTATATGTTGCAATATAGCTGAGTACATGACTTAACATTGAATAATTTAAATATTCATTTTATACATTTTTCATGTACATCACACGTACGTACGTACGTACGTTAGTCAATCTATATTGCTTTTTTAAAAAGATTCAAATAGATTACTTAGCTCAAAGCTGTTCATTTATTCCAATCACCCTTTTTGTCTTTCATACAATTCGTCTATGCGAATGCGAATAAAAAAGTATATTCTGCTTTCTTCTTTTTTCATGGTAACATCTTTCATTCTTTGACAGGTGTTCCTACGGATTTTCTGTTATGTCAAGTATTTCTTTTCTGTCGACTTTACATCCCTTTATCCAATTTCTTGTCAAAAAGCCTTCATTTCTTTACGAGCGCGATGGGATCATTTGCTTTCCTTGATTTAAAGTATTTTACCGCAGTTATTAACACCTTTAAGTTGTTCTTTTAGAGTTATTTTCTTCAACGGTATCGAGTCCTTCGCTTGTAGGAACGGCATAAATCTTGAATAGTCTGTCCCATTCTTGTTCTAAGTCTTCGTAACTAACCAAGTCGGTATCGAAGGATCCATGAGGTCCATGATGTTTGGATATAAACTCTAAACCATGTTGAAATATTGTAGCGCTCACTTCACCCATACTTGTTATTATTTTTAGAGGTTTGTCCGACAGTTCGCCAGCTTTTTCTTTGATTTTACGAATCTTTTTACGAAAGCTTTTCTTGAAGTCATGTGGAGTAGAGAAGTATCGTATTTCTACCAAATCATCAGCCCATTGAACTCGTTTACTCCCTCCATTACTACTACAGTCAGATTCAGTGTCACTGTCGATCACATAGTCTCCTACCTCCATCCTGTTTCTCATTTTGTCACCAAGAACGGGTTTGTGTTGTGTCTCTGTTACTTTGTCAAGCAATTCTGACGTTTCCGATTTGCTTTTTGCCGCCGTTTTCGTCGAGATATGTCTACAGTCTGTGACTTTCAGGTTGGTGGGCCGTTTTCAAGTTAAATTCAGAATAACCACCTTTTTTTCATTTAGCGGAGTAGATGTGAAATAAAAATAGGAACTAATGCCTTATATGCATCTATCTCGCCCACGCTTCTCATCTAGAGTTTCCTATACGATTGTTCTTATTGGCTTTCCATCAAAAAAGGTTATTTTAAGGATTTCTGTGACGTCAATGGGCTTGATTTAGTACACAATGGAAAGCCATTTCAATGCTACTTGCGTCAAACTGTCACAACATGAAACGTCACAGAGAGACTTGTAGACACAAAAATTTCAACCCTAAACTAGAATCAAAACCCATAAATTATAGATAACACGTAAAATCGTAAAACCTTTGCTTTTAATGTGTCCAAACCTGTTTTATTTTTATTCCTACTTTAAATTAAAAGGATATCAAAAATATCTTATTCAAAAAAAATGGATTCAATATTCATTTCCAATAGGAGAATCTCTTCCGATAAGCTGACGATCTGATTGGCTGCAATAAGTGACGTTTCCATAGAAACGTATACCCTTCGACAGGTGCATGTCGTCTTTTTTTGATGAATGAAAATTTTTTTTCAAATTAAGAACGATAATTCAGATTAGGTGACAAATTTAAATATCTTTTTCGCTTGTTGATTGGTTGTTGTTCATAAAAGCTCATTTGATTCAGTTTAATTCGTTCTGAACGGCTTCATTTAGAATCCAACCAAACAACAACAATCCGTCTGAATGTAAAGTTCATTGGCAAAAAAAAACCTTGTCAAAATGCATTTAATTTTATTCTGTGAAACTAGTTCATTAGGCCTGTCTTATAATCAACTGAGACACGTATTCCTAGATGCTCTTAATGTTAATTTACTATTCTTCTCAAAGACTTTATGAAAATTTTAACAGTTGTCTACAAGAGTTAAATAATACGACACCTCGAAACCCCCAGAATTCTATAAGAGTCTAGCTTCTTCAAAGAATAGGAGGAAGGAAGGGGGCGACCTTCAATAAAACATATTATTTTCTTTTAAAGATTAACAATGACCAATATTATACGAACATGACGCGAGCCACGTACGAAAAGCACTCGGGAGGCTTTCGGAAATGCTCGTAAATGGTAGTTTAAAACATTTATTAGAAGGCGGATTGAATGACAATAGGTTTGAGTGAGCGTAATGTGTCTTTTTGGTTAGCATCGACCTTAGACTCACTGCAATTGAAGTTAACCAAATCGTGGACCCACGCGTTTATATTCCTTATGTTATCACCACTAGGTGGGAAAGAATTCTGGAACGTTCGAATTCACTGGAGTTGTTAAATAAAAGTTCTTAAAGGAAAATCGAATTCAGTCAAGACATTAATTCATATTATTCTGCAGAAGCTTGCCATTTATATGGTGACGCATAAAATATAAATTTTATTATACGTTTAACAAGCAGAAATAATACGGAAAAAAAAAAAGAAAGTTCTTGTAGGTTGGTCATTTTGTTCGTCGTCACTTTTCCTCATATCCTCATGCTGACTCGTGACGTTAGGTTTTTGTTTCGCAAGCCCTCGCTTCTCGCTGAACTTCAATATCACCGTCTCTAATGACTCTCTTTCTTAATATTGCATCCGCCCTCGACTCAAAAAAGAGTTCTCGAACAAAATGAACGCCTGAAGATCTAGAACAAATAAGGTCATTGACTTGATTCTCACTATCAAAAAATGCATTAGTATTACCATGGGATCCGGATGAACTCGGTAATGGAGAGGCCATAGGGAATCCATCCATCCATCCATCCATCCATCCATCCATCCATCCATCCATCCATCCATCCATCCATCCATCCATCCATCCATCCAT